AGATGGGTATAAGAGACAGGCTTCATGACGATAAATGAAGATGTTGACAGACTGTACAGTGGCGGTGTGTGCTTAAAGTTGATGATGTTTTGACCATAGCAATCACAATGATCTGTAATCCGATACATATCATCATAAAAATATCAATCAATGAGAGGCCGATACCTTTCCAATACAATATTATTCATAAGGCAGATAGGCCTACAAATGATTTATGCTACTTTTTTAAAAGTTAGGCTTCCCCATGTCCATAAAAAAAACGAGGTATACAAAGGGTCTAAAAATTCTCATATGATTGTACGAATCATATGAGTTATCTAGACACACTTAACGGATTATCAACTTACCCAGAAACCAACACCAATCACAAATATAAAATATAATATGATGACAACAATGTCAGCGGCATTCATTCCCTCATAGGCCATTTTTCGTGAATAATACGCCGACAACGTTCTTCTGAGGGGAAAACGGAACCCAACAGCTTAACTTGTCCCTGGGGCTATCAGCAACCGTTTGATTGGTGCGTCTATATTGGATGTAAATGCATGACGGTCTTAATGGCCTGCAAGGTTCGGGACAGTCAGAAAATGTTTATTGTGTTTAGCGCTGATTTACAGTTTGGGGGCACACCCATACATCGTCGTAAATTGGAACTACTGTACTGTACTCCCGGTCGAAGGTCACAGCAATGTCGAGTTATCATCCAAAGATCTATTATCAAATGAACTATATCTAAACGTAACTAAATAAAAACAATAATTAAGATAGGCTTCAAAATTATTAATAGGCCTATCATCAATATTATTATAAGTAATATTGAATACATAGATTTTTATACAAATATCAAATTCAGTAATGAGGAAAATAGACTCCACTTCCCATATGGTGTATACACTGTTGGATGTGCAATAAATAAACAATTTTAAACAATTAGACGTTTTATCGACTGTTAATGGTCTATAGTATCTACACAATATGCGCTGAGTATATTTCCTAATATAGATAATGCTACCGCATTATGCGCCGAAGTGAAGCATCCCTCTGATGAATGAAAATCTCGGTTTGGTTGAGTGCTAATATCAGGGACTACTCCTGCTAACCAAGCATGGGCGTCGATCGGTGGGGACAGGGGGAGACGACCTCCCCACTTTTCAAAGTAGGGGGGAATCATATCAATTGTTCCCCCCCCCCCACTTTTCACTATTCTTCTATAATTAAAACCCAACTATTCAAAGTGAATGGAAAGAATAACAATTAGGCCTATGTATGACTGTCATGAATTTTGTCTGTTCACTTTTCCAAGTGCGGGTGCTTACTTCCAGACCGAAACCGAGTAAAAACGCAATTGTGTGTACATTTCGTAATCATCTCAGTAACCACTACATCGATTTTATGGGTGCAACAGTTATCAGAGGCTAAATTTATTGTGAAAACAATGTACTGTGCGTTGTTAAAATTTGAAGCGTGTAAACCTATTAGGCCAATATTTTTACAAGCTCAAAATGAGTATATTCTGTACTAGTATTTAATATTATCTGCATACATAGATTTCTGTTTTTTTCTAATTTCAAAAAATTATAGTTAGTCAATTGAATTTTATAAAGCCGTTATTAATAAATAATCTATCTATTTCGATTTATTTAAGTAGTGATACCACATGTTTCCAAACTCCGGTGGTACGTTGACGGAATCTCGCAATGACGTCATAATAATCAGTGGGAGATTCAAGTGAAAAAAAAATGAAAAAAAAAGTAAAATTATAATTAGAATTTAGGTCAGAGAGTCCGGCTATATATAGGTGTCATAATCACAAGTTTTCTTACCTCATCCCCAACCATGCTAGGGCTGAGGTGGTATATAGTTTCCCAAACTGTGACGGTACCGGTAGTATTTCCACTCACAATAGTGTGTCGCAAAACTACTTGCACAAAAGTGTTCAAAAAGAGGAGAAAGGGAAAAACCTCTTGATTGATTCTAAAAGTACTGAGTCATGCAAAGAGACTAATTAGTGGCTGTTTTAATCTTATTTGTTTTTCATGGTTCGAATACGTCACAAGCTAATCAGTAGATATTAAATCATGATTTTAAATGTTAGTTTCGAATGAAATATATAAGCGGGCATAATTATGATTACCAGGATAATTTGAAAAACTTTCTATGATGAGTATTTCAGTGGCAAATTCAAGGGGCCCGGCCAGCCGGCCCGCCCTCCCCTTTTTTCAAAATTTGAAAGTTAAGAAAATAGTAAATTACATTCGAATCTAGTCTGAGTGCGCCATTTCCGGCCAACTAGAGGTGCCATGATCATAAATTGTCTTGCCTCAGCCCCAACATGGTGGGACTGGGATATACACTCTCCCTGCAGCTGTAAAAGTCTGTCCCTGGGCCCCCTCAATTGCAATTCCTGGATCCGCCACTGCATTTTGAAGAAATAAATGTTAATTGCATTCCTTAAAATCAATTAGATACGGTAAGACTTATAAGGGTTACAGGCGCCAGAGATTCCGGGGCCTTCGCCCTTTGGACCCCATCGGCTCCCTAGGCGCAAGTCTTTCTTTTTTTTGCATTTCGTCCCCTCACTTTCAACCACGGATCGACGCCCTTGATCCCAGTTATGTCCATTAGTACAACTACGCATCACCCCCCTCCCCCACTCACCTAATGGCAACCCTGGCTGCGGCCTTGAGACAATCTAAATAAAGGGCATGGTCATATCAGAGATTATAACCCATAGAGATTTAGCTATATTCCAAGTGGTCATTGGATATACAGATATCAGCCATGGCCTTCCAGGAACAACAAAGTGACTGAACGTTCCTGGAACCATTGACAAAATAACTCTCGAGAACAGTGCCGAACTTCTTTTTAGAGGATAATAATGCAATAAGGATAACAATCTAAATAAGCACAATATCCGCGCATAATACTACTTCGAGTATGCCTACATTGTCAAATCTAAGAACAATACAGTACATATAGTTTAAAAAACAAACTTTTAAGATGCCTACGTACTTCCTCATTGGTGAACTATTCTTGTAAAAGTGTGCAGAAAAGTGAAGACAAAGGAAGTCTGTGGGAAATTTGTATCGACGGTTGATAAGTTTATTTTCTTAACTTTTTATAGCATTTAACAAGCTCTGTGTACTTGGATGTGTCATCTTTTCTAAATATTTTCAAGCAAAACATAAAATATACAAAAATAACTATGAGATTTTCAAATAGCAGTCACATTATGAACATAATGACAATGCCTGCAAGCCTTTGCTAACTTGGGACTTGTTTAACATACGCCAATCACTCGCGCCATGGAGGATTGTGAGAGAATTTATCATTTAGCCGTTCCGGATTTATATAATTTACAGTAGTATAAGATTATTAAAATTATTAATATTAACTGCCATCATAAATCAGTCAACTCAGTTTGTATTACTGTCTTTTTGTTTAAATTTTGTTCAATACATGTTTTGTATATTTGTGTATTTTTGGCTAATGAATAGAATAGAATACACTACAATACCGTACACTAGAAGCAGTTGAATTGCACATACATAAGAAATTTAAAAATTGCCTTAAAAGTTAAAAAATATCAATAACAGTTAAAAAAAAAAAACGCGCCAAAAAAAAGAAGAGAATCTGAAGTTATTATAGTAAAAGATTATTTATCATAATTATTAGGCCTAGTTATTATTAGTTATTATTATTATTATTATTATTATTATTATTATTATTATTATTATTATTATTATTATTATTATTATTATTATTATTATTATCATTATTATTATTATTATTATTATACTAGTTATTGTGAAAATTAAGAGATTACAAAAAAGAGTGAACCGCTCGACCATTGTTGGAGCAGTTCACCCGACTATGCAGAGACAACTTACTATTTTCTGAAAAGATCAGCGTTAATAATAACATTTTTTGACCGTTCTGTTCAAACTTTGGGGAGATAGAATTGTTGTGTAGACTTGAGGTTGTACCCTAGGAGCCAGACTAGGTTTTGTATGCACTTCGAGGTGCAGAGAATTTGACTTCAGAAATCGGTTCAGGGTAGCTCAAGAATCATTTTTGGCTTGGTAACACATTTTCAAAATGTGGCGAAAGGTCAGAAGGTCAGGGTCAAAGGTATAGCCATAGGATTCTTATATAGGCCTATATCTCCGCAACCACTGGTGGTAGAGAGTTAATTGTGGTGCCAATTTGTTCGGAACATCCATATTTCTATTCGTTCTAATAGAACATTTTGCTACAAAATGAAAGGAAATACCGTTTATGATCTTTGACATGTTTCAAGGTCATAGCAATATAGGCCCGTTTATCTTCGCAACCACTAGTGGTAGAGAGTTAATTTTGTTTATCAATTTGTTCGGAACATTAGTTACCCATGGTTTGTCCATTTTATATTGTTTAACACCTTTTATAGGAAAGTGTACATCAATTAGCTCATTAAGTCTGTTATTAAGAAAACGAAGCATGCTGGAACTGTCCTTGAGGTAGTAGGGGCCTACAGATCTTGCCATCGGGTGTTACACAAATCCTCAACAAATCTGGCCTTTAAAGATGTGTCAAATACTCGCATTCGTCGAATATCATAAGAGTAATTTTAATCCCGTCGACAAAGTGGTTCACAAATTATAACATTATGGTCCGATAGTACAAAGGGGCCTCTGAGACTGGAGACATGTAGAATTCGTCCATTGATGTCCATTGAATTAAAAAAAAAATCACATTCGATTGATATAAACGAAACGAGTCCATTGAATACATTACTTTGAGCCTGTCAGTAACGTACTCACTCGCGAATAAGCGCCCTGGCGCTTTAAAATAATTATTTTGTTTTGCACTTTTTTAGGGGCGCTTATTCAAACAGAGAGCTTATGAAAACCATGGAGGTATTATTGAGAAGGAGATCACTCGGCAAAGCTACGCGCACGCAGCGCTATGCAAATGAACCAAGATCAAAGTTGCCGCAGCGCGTAAAGAACGTTTGCACGATGCCTTTGAAGTCCCATGTGTTCCCCGCCATCAAATTTTCAATAGGCATAGTTGGCCAAAGAATTGAACATGACGAAATGGAGAGCACATTCTTTTCTCAATGCGCACTACATACTGTCAATCACTATG